GATTAAAAGACAACTTATTTTTCAAAATTTTTAAAGAAAATATAGTTTAGAAATTGACCCAAAAATCCAGAAAGATCAAAATCTCAGTTTATGTTTTTAACCTCTTAAGCCCCAAGGTTTTCTTTAAGTTTTTTTCTCAAAATACCATGCTGAAATATAATTGAGTGTATCTCAGCATTTACAAACTCTTGGTATCAAAATAAAGCTAACACTTGGGAGATTTCATCAGAAGTAAGTATTAAAACAGCTGCTATGGTTTTAGAGATATTGGAGATGGAACATAGTATTTTTTTTTTACTTTCACCTGAATAATTTTTGCATTAGACTGTATATGACCTATTTAAAACCATAATGAAGTAGGCTAAAAAGTCTTAGAAACCATAAATCCACTTGTGGACATTATCTGTGCAAAGATTCATGCTGTTAAAATGAACTGGAGCAAAGTTACAGGGGTTTTAGTAAATAAATAATTTTGTTTTTTGTCATTCTGCACAGGATGGACAACGATGGTACTCTTAATAAGTGTAAAGAAATCTGAAGATTTTACTTCCAAAAGTTATTTATTTTTTCTTATCTGTCTTAAAAGACTTGTTACTGAATGTTTGTTCTTTTGAAAAATTATGCAAACATTTATTYGCCATCATATATTTTATATAAAATAACAAGAAATTATATTTGACTTCAGACCATATTCACTCAAAATCAAGTGAAAAAAAAGCATTTAACACACTTTACGTATTTACTACTTTATCTACTTTGACTTGCTTAAAAAAATGACAAAATGTTTCCTTTACAGATTTGCTTCAATGTATTTACAAACTTGCAATGATGCCATTTTGTAAAGTTTGTTTACTTTCTGATTTAATTGCCTGTCGTTTGAACTTTGGTGAATGTAAAAATTGCCAATATTCTTAGGTTTATATTGACACCAAACATGTCCAGGTTCATCTGACAGATATTGAGTTAACAGAAGTTAAAAGAAATAGAAACTGAAAACRCTGTATTGTCTGGGGCTCAAGAGGTTAAACAGAGGTGGACAACCATGCAGACATCAGAGAAGAGTAATATCAATAATCACCATTCAGTGCATTATCAGATATTTTGCTAACACTAAAAACAAATACACCCTTTATAAAGATAGTAAAAAAACAACATTATCATTATTATATATATTTTTTTGTCTTCACCCAAGTGACTGCTGTTGGAGGGCTGTGGACTGGAGTGCTGATATGCCTTCTACCTTTCTTGCTGCAGCTCTTTGTCAGGAGAGACAAAAACACCTTGCACAATCAATGGGAATACAAAATGACATCTTAATTAGTAATTAGGTGCACTGATATCTGTGTAAATTGGAAACTAGAATTGCAGAGTTGCTTCAGAAATAAATGTTTGCATCCAACCTGAGGGCCTCTTTTTGTTTTCTCAAGTGAGGTTTCAACCAATCCTACTAGGGGAGGAGGAGAATTTATGCAAAAAGCAATAATCTGACCGACAGCCAACTCAGCCAATGAGAGCGACGATTGTCTTTCAAATGAGCCAATGAGAGACTTGGAAAGTCTTTATGCTCCAATCAGAGCACGAGGAGGTGGGGCTTGTTTTCGGGGACTCACCCCTTAAAGCCGTATAGTTAGGTTGCACACAGGCTGCAGTTTCAGTTTGTTTTATTCACCATTTTGAGTAGCTGAGAGGGAAAAAAAGAGAATATTTGTGTTTAGTAGACAGGACGCTAGGCTTCTGTTGTTTTTTACTCGCCAGCTCGGACGGCGGAGACGTGCGACAGCCTCGCTCGTTGAGTGTTTCGCAGAGCGGGAATCCATTTCTTTTTACCCCCCGTGTGTTGCTTTTTTTCTTCTCCCCCCGTCTGCCCTCTCACATCAGTATTCCTGCAAAATGTCCAGACCAGTGAGGTAGGTGCGCTGCGCGTGTGCTGTCTGCACACCCTCTCACGCTTTTCCTCCATGTTGTGTTGATCCAGCCGAGAATGTGTTCGTTTCGTGACTAAAACTTAACGAGGAGAGCGTGTTGGTGAGGTCCCCTCCTCCCGTGTGCGCGCAGTCCAAGATGGACCCCGGCCTGAGTGGGCTGAGTGTGGACTGCTCTCCGTGCATTTACCGTGGCTGCGCTGGAAACGACTCCATGAGGGGCTTTCATTGTTGCTGCTAATGTAGGCCAAGCGGAAAATGTGTGGGGAGGATTTACCCAGTTACACTTTTACTGATTCTGCCTTTTAATTTGTGTACCCATTCATCCGGGGGGCGAAATGCAGCTAAGCTCTGAGCGGAGAAAAAAAAAAAAAAGACCGGAGTAGGTGGTGGTTGGCCTGGGGATTTGATCCTGTCACCGCGCAGACTCGTGTAGCTGCTGCTGTCGCCATTACAGCGCCTTTGTGCTCCAACAACAGCAGAAAAAAACAGTTTGACGTGTTTGTGGTGAATTATATATAACGCGGTATGTCGTGGTCGTGCAGGTAATAGGTAAAAGGTGGGGGGGAAATGTGAGGAGAGGTTACATTTTGAGCGCTGGCTGTAAATTAATACTGCGCGCTGTCTGACGTCAGAGGAGGGCGGGGCAAGTCGTCACACCCCCTCCACCGGAACTGATTTTTTTTAAACTCACGCGCATGCGCAAAGTCAGTATTTTGCGATGCATTGTGGTCTAGATAGTTTGACGCTTTAACACAACAAATCATAGTGCATTAAGGATAAACATGAAAAATACTAATTCACCTCAGAAAATACACACTTCTGCTGTGTTCTACAGTCTTTCTCACACCAGGATAGATTATATATTGAGGACATTTTGCTAAAACACCAATAAAACTAATTCATAGTACATTTACGTATGAAAGTCAATAGAAGGGCAGGTGTAAAGGATCAACATTAAATGCTGACCTTGAATACTAGAAATAGTTAGGAATTTATTTGGTTGAGTTTTACTCATCAGTGATTGTGAAAAGTTAAGGAAGAAACCCTGGTGTGTGTGTGTGTGTGTGTGTGTGTGTGTGTGTGTGTGTGTGTGTGTGTGTGTGTGTGTGTGTG